AAATCCCAGAACAGGAAGATGGGGTTTGGGGATTTCTGGGATTTGAAGACCAGACATCTTCAAGTTGCCAAGGTTGAGAAACACTGCATTAGTAATTGAGGAGGGAAATACTAGCTTTGCTGAGTAGATCCTCACAGGGTTTTCAGAAGTATATTTTAATTATCTTAAAATGTGATTAAAGGGGCTTTATATCAGGAACTGAAAAGGAATATTCAGCCAACCGGGACACTGTAAACTACACGGTACCTGAATTTCATAAGTGGCTAATTCTGAGGATTAATACAACCAGTTGATTTGAATGAGATTTATGATTGGAAAGGGAGATCAAGAGCTTACAGTCAACACACACTTCTTACAGAGTACTGTTGGAAGGGACGTTGGAGATCTTCTAGTCCAACCCTTGCTAAAGAGAAAAGCCTATACCATTTCAGACAAATGGCTATCCAATTTCTTCTTAAAAACTTCCAGTGATGGAGCACTCACAACTTCTGGAGGCAAGCCAATTCCCTGATCAATTGCTCTCTCTTTTAGGAAGTTTCTCCTTAATTCTAGGTTGCCTCTCTTCTTGATTAGTTTTCATCCATTGCTTCTTCTTCTGCCCTCAGATGCTTGAAGAATAGATTGACTCCCTCCCCCCTCTTCTTTGTAGCAGCCCCTCAAATATTGGAACACTGCTATCATGTCACCCCTAGCCTTTCTTTTCTCTAAACTAGCCATATCCAATTCCTGCAACTGTTCTTCATATGTTTTAATCTCCAGGCCTTTAAGCTTCATTTGTTCTTCTCTGCACTTTTTCCAAAATCTCATTTTAAGGGCTGATGTGGAGCAAGATATTGAAAAGAATTTACTTTTCATAGCACAGTTCTAGAGTGTTATACTATTTTAGAATCACAGAGTTATTTAGTTCAACTCTCTGCTCAGTTCAGGATTCAGTAGAATTATTGCAGATATTACTCTGCTTACAAATTTCCAAGGTACAAACTTCATTGATATGAACAAACCTGTGCAGAACTTCAGCCTAGAAGATCCTGAAAGTCAGGAGAATGTTAGCTTATAGTGCACCACATGCATACTCTTGGTTGGACCTGTGAACAAAATTTATCGATGAACAGATCTCAGAACATCATCTGTACAGAACTATCTGTATTTGAAAACCTTTAGAGAAGGTGCCAATGTTCCACTGGGTAACAGCTTGTTCTATCAGAAAGTTCCTCCTGAACTTCCTTACTTCCTTGTAGTTTTAACTGATTGGTTGTGATCTTGCTTTCTGGGGTAATAGACAATCAATCTGCCACTTCTTTTATGTGGCAACCCTACTGATATTTGATGTTGACCCTCTGACATCTTTTCTATAGGCCAACACACCCAGATCCTCTGGAGTGGTGCGGTGACCTAGAGGTGGAGCTCTTGCCTCACAATCAGGAGGTTGTAAGTTCAATCCTAGGTAGAGGCAGATATTTCTCTCTCTGGGCACACTGTTATATCTACTGAACAAAACTCCATAGTGGCAACAAGAAGGGCATCCAGTCCAGACTCCACCCCGCAAGGGATTATGGGGTTGTTAAATGAAGATGATGATGATGATGATGATGATGATGATGATGATGATGATGATGATGATGATGATGAAAACACCCAGATCCTTTAGCCATTCGTCACATAATTTGGCTTCCAGAGCCCTCACCGTTTTTGTAGACCTTTACTCCAATTTTACAGTGTCCATTTTGAACAGTGGTACCCAGAACAAGAAACACTTTCCAAAAAGGTCTGACCGAAAAGAGTACCATGAAGCGATTGCTTCTTGCCATCTTCTCTTTGAAAATCAATTCTTCTGAAATTTAGTATGCATGTCAGATCTCAGTCCTCTGGATATGATGAATTCAAGGAGAACATGATCATTTCCCCACAAGGTGCTGGTCAACTTCACTCCTTCAGTCAGTTCCTCCCTCTTAGTTAAGATAAATCCCAAGATAACAGACACCCTTGTTCTCTCCTATTTTCTAAGAAATTAAATTGTCACCAAGAGAAAAAAAAAAGGAATGTGTTGGACCTCTTGGCAGAATTAGAAATCCAGGTAATGTTAGGATAATTGACATCCCGCGTTATCACTCTTGCATGTCTTTTTGAAAAATTGGCCATCTGATGCAGAAAAACCTCATTTGTTTCTTCTGCCTGCCAATGACATCTGACATAAACTTCCACAATCATACTGCTTTTGTTTCTTCCTGCTGTTAGGCTTACCCAAAGACTTACAACAAGGTTTCCGTGCTTCTCCCTAAATATGTTTGAATATATTTTTTCTTAATATAGTTTGAGTTCTCTATCTCTTGGGTCTCCCTTTTGAATAAATGGTAGCCTTTGAGTGCTATGCACCAATCTTGACTCTCATCCCAGTCAGTGATGCCTGTTATATCACATTCATATTTCTGAGTTACCATCCTTAGTTCTCTCTGTTTACTCCCCATATTTTTTAGTGTAAAAGTATCTGAAATGTTGAGTACTGCTTACTGATGTCTCTGTGATAATGTCCTGTGAAAATCTAAGTCTCCATCCTTGTCTCTTGCTTCTCCAGTTGTGTCCTGTCTCCCTGGCCTTGGATCTTCACTTTTGCTTTTGCCATCCTTCCGTTTTAGTCTTACATGCCACACATTTCCTTCCAGATTTTGTAAAATGTTTCTTCTCAGTCTCCATATTTCTACTGCTACTAATACAGTACAACTACTACTTCTACAACTACTCTTCCACTAAACCTTTTCCAGGATGCAATGAAATAAGTAAGGACAGATCTAGTTAGGTCTGAACAGATTGGTTCCTAAGAAGCTGTTATTAGTATAGATATACTCGCTAGTCTGTGACCATCATGAAAACTGATTGTCATATTGTATAGATATATTCCAGTGGTTCAGAGTGCACCCACATACAGCATTTTTTTATTTACGAGATTTAGGAGTTTGGGGTGAATGCAGCTAATTATTCTGTCAGCACAACATGAAAAACCATGTTATTTGTTTGGTTATGATCATGTAACGTGTGAAGCTGCAATTAAGCAAAATTGGACTGTGGGAGAATTCAGCCAATGCTTTATGAATAGTAGCAGTAGGAGTGTTCAATTGGGAAGCATCCCAGATTTCATGATCTATTTCTTGTTAAAGCACCTGAGATAATCATACTGAGAGGCAAGAGTGAAATTCTAAAAGGTCTTCTCCACAGATAGTACCATTCCCCCCCCCCAATAAATTTGGGGAGCGCTCATGGGGCAACTTGACACCATCAATATTATAATAAGAACACATTTTCATGTCTCATTCCCCAATTAAGAATGTAGACATGTTTTGAATATTTGCCACATTCTTCTCTTAGCCCCACTGTTTTCCATTCGATTCAACCCATTTTTTTTAATTCTTGGAAAAGTTTGCATTTATATTCCAATCTTTCACTCAACTATCGGGAGTAAAGCTTTAACATGGATTTCGGGGTGCCTGAACCAAAAATAGACAAGCTTTAGATTTAGGGAAGCTCACATTTTATAAAAGTTTCATAGTCTTGTTATATTAGGTAAGTATATTATTAGGAATCAAATTGTGGAGAATATTAATAATTAAGTCCAATTCTGAAAAGTTATCTTAGTGAAGGAATGCAAAGGAAATGTATTCCAGTCCCTATTCATGGATGTTGGTCCACCAATCTAATTCTACAATTAACAATTGAGATAAAAGTTTATCGTATATAAATTTACTTAACATTCTCATTAACTTGTTAGTTAAATGAATAATTGTTTCTAGTACAATGAAAAACAGTCCAACTAAATTTTGTCAATACTATGAATGTATTTATTATGTTTAAACCGATAAAAGCAAAATCTCTTTTCATGCTATAAATTTTTATTAAAAACTGAATATACATTTGTGTAAATAAATTAACTGGCAATTAAATTTATGCACTGTAATATTCTCTTATAAAATTGAAATGTCATTTCTTTGTACGTTAGCTTTCTACATTTGACACCTAAAGAGGATAAACTGCAAACTGAATTTAACAATGCTCTAAAATAAGTATGTGTACAATAAATAATTTCAAAAAATTGTGCATGTATTTGAACACTCATGGCCCCTCAAAACAGGCACCCTGATGCAGCAACAACATACCACATTTGGATTCAATGAATGCAAGTATGCCTAAAGACAGCTTTTGGAATCTGTACAGATTTGCGTGTCTTGGATATATTCAATATTCCTAAAGACAGGAAAAAGACAATGTATTGCAAATGCTATGAGTAATACTGTTCTAATCATGTTCATGGAAATAATGATTTCATATGAAAAGATAAGTGCTCAGACAGCAGAAGTGTTTCATCAATTTAGCTGCTCAGAATTAATTCCACGAAGAGAGACTTGTCCAATATTTCAAACGCTTGAAAGACAAAATTCGTTGAGGCTGTTGTTTTCCTGTTCATATTGATCCAACTGGTAATATTCAAAGGTTACTTGATTGATATGCTTTCCACTTGAGACTAACCGCAATATGGTGTTGTCACAGCCAATCTTCATTTGAGCTAGTCAAAGGGAAATAATTTAGATTTTATTTTAATTGCTTTAAAAAAATCTGTAGTTATTACACAACTTTAATGGATTGCACGTATATGCAGGATTCATCTACAAATTTTCAAAAGGTATGCCTATATCATTTCTTTATATCCTACTGCCCATATACAGAACAAAATGAACTGTGTATATAGATAAAAACAACTTTCATCTTCATGCACTATTGTGCATCTTCATGCACTATTGTGCATGAAGATTAGATGTGTGTATGCTGCAACGAATATATGGACATATGATTTCTAATGAGGCATCTTCTTTCCACATTGAAATGTACATTGCTGCAAAGAGGATAGGAAAAACCTTATTAATACACTAAGTCACTATCAAAGAATGTCTTCACACTGATTTCATTGATGCCTTCAAAATAAGGTTGAATATTTTTCCTATTCTGAATTCATTGCCTTTATTCTGAAATGGTCTAATCTAATCTCAGTAAGATCAGTGTATGATCAATTTAACTAATATAATATGACAGCAATGTACTGTTCTTTATAATTGAAAAGAATAATTCTTGCGGTACTAATTCTAGAGGCATTTTCCTTATATCACGTATGTTTAATTTGTCTTTATTAACACCCATTAAACCAAATGCACACAATAATATTTAATATTTAAATGCACACAATAATATTTCATCATGTGAGCAAAATTCACTGCAACTACAAAAATCGCAGAAGAAGGCAGAAACAACTGGCAATGAATGGTACTGAAAAGATGGTGAAGATTTTTGTTTGTTTGAAGCAAAATAGTTTACACTCGGCATCATTTACAACTGTCAGATAGAAAAGATTAAGCCTCTCTAAATTTCATAGAAGGGGGAAACACCTTACTGTATGGGTATTTAGCTGAGCTAGGTCTTCCTGTGTCTTCATGCTGCATACATTATAATGTGCAATTGGATCTAGATTGAGAAGGAAGACTTTCAGGGCCAAGAGGCCCTAAGTGCCATGATGGGTGGGAGCGATAATAAAAGGAGAATAAGGTTATACAATTTACTTGGGTATGGACATGCGTTTTTGTTTTTTCTAGATAGTAGATAGAGTTTTCAGAAGATGGCATGTCGGTGGGTCATACTTTCTAATAAGCTACAACCTTTTTGCGTTTTCTGACTCAAAAAGGAACCAAATAATATTTGGCAATTGTGATCAGGCAGGGTTAGGCATGGAATAGCAAAAGAGATGTTGGGGACTGCAAAAATTCTGTGTACCTTCAAGTTTCCCACTTTGCTCTATAGTATTTATGAGACCATCTTCACATAGCAATGATGACATTGACTGATTGATATCCACTCAGGGCTTGAGTTAATAGCTAAGCAAAACTCTTTCCACAAGATAAGACCTTATTTTTTCAACAAACATTGTTACTCTTTTGTATTAATCCCAGTCATGAGAAGTAAATGTCCAAAAAAGTATTAATACCATGTCATTCCTTAATACAAAAAATGCATGCCATTCTGACTGTTGTCTAGATTTGTTGGAAAAAGTTTTTTGGGAGTTGTATTTGCAGTGCGTCTGAAGCCATGAGATTGTTTAAGCAGACCACAATGGATTTGTGCAGATAAATATCAGAAAAGCTGTTTTTCTCTAATAGACTTTGTCATGCTTACCGGCAAGGTGAAATATCCTAAGCAATCAGTCCATATAATTATCTTTTTTATATCTACAGTGTCTATACTTGGATTGTCAAAATCTAGATGTCTATTAAAAGAAAACAAAGTTTAGCCTTCCTTTTTGATGCACTCTAAAGGTTATCTGGCATTTTGCAGATATGGTAGCCCTATAATATCACTGAGAAAGTATTTGAACAAGAAGCATTAGCAGAAGAGATTACCAGGGCCACTGAAAGAATGGCAAAGATCAGCCAATGGAAGCATCTTAGAAGGGTCTAACCCATTTCCTCCCAGCAACTCCATAAAGTCTCCGGTGCCCCTGCAACCGGCAGCTGATTTCTGTGCACAAGGAAAAGCAGAAGGATAGGAAACCATGTTAAATGGGTAATTTAAAATGCAGGTTGGTTTTAGCAAATGAGATTTATAAGATCATGCAAAATAATCAAGTGGGTTTTTGTTTTGATTGGTGAAGTTCTCTTTCAATCCTTCTGAAGTAGTTCAAAAGTAGAGTTGTAATCATCTTCACAGCCTCAAAATACTGAGAACTCACAAAGATTGCTATAAGCCAGTGATAGCAAATCTATGGCATGCATGTCGCAAGTGATATGCCATGACATTTTTGGTGACAAACCTAGAGGCACATGGGAATGCATCCTCTGAACCGTCTGGAAGTTATGTGAGAGGGCCATGCTCTTGAAGGGCTTCTGGACCCTTCAAGAATTGTACAAGAACATTCTCACACAATTTTGGGAGGCTTTCCCAACTTCCAGAGGGTATGGAAGCCGTGGGAAAGCCGATTACATTTCTCATGCAGCCTCCTCAAACCCGCCCCCCAAATGCAGGAAGTTTTCATATGATTTTCAGAGCTTCCAGAAACCACACAAGAATGTGGTGTGCTGTCACCTGGACTTTGGACCCTCTGGAAGTGACACAAAACGGCTCTACTCTGGAGCCTCCCAAAAATAAGCGACAACAGGGTGTGTTTTTCCACCCTTTTGAGATGCTGCAAAGACATGTTTGTTTGTTTATTAACATTTGTAGGCCGCCCTTTTCCCTGAGGGGACTCAGGGCGGCTCACATAAAATCAGGGAGGGGAAGTACAGACAGTGACATAGACACATATAATAAAAGAAATAAGCAACATACATTCATCATTCGGGAGGGGCAACTATGCAAGAGCATTCTCCTTACTTTCCAGACTTTGTGTTACCTTGAGCTGCTTCAGATTGCCATTTTTTTTCTGAGAGTCAAATTTTTTTATAGGTATATAGGCATTTATAGTATAGGTGTCTTAAATTGATATGCCGCCCATTTCACTATACAAAGCAACTCCTTGTTATGAATTGTTTCTCTTTTGTCTGGGATGGGGGTGTCAGGCTAGCAGAATCAAGTTAAGCATTTTCTAAATTTTTTACACACCAAGCCCGAAACGTTTCCCATCACTGTTACGAGCAAGGGGATAGTGCAAAGATTCTCATTCGGATTCCCTTCATTCCCAGAGATCCTAAAACAAATCATAACAAGGAGTT